ATCCCGTTGTTGCGTCTCTGCACCAACAGCGGACCCGCGTTTCTGCCCCTTTCTCATGGGTGGACGGTCACTACGCCCAGTGTTGCGAGACACTGGACGAGGGGCACTACACTCGTAAGCGTAGTGTCCTGTCTTCTGACACCTGTTTCATTTCTGCAACTTCTTGTAGTCTGTAGAGCGAGTCTTCTCGCTCTCTACATAACAGAGTTCCATCGGCTCTGGACCTCCGCTGTCATATCGTCTAGGTTGACGGTATGATGTCGAGCTGGCGCGAGCCTGTCTCAGACTGAATTCTTCCTGTTCCGCAATGGAAATGGCTTGTTCTAGTGAATCTAGTTCAAGCCGGAACAGGTGAGTCTTGACGGAACCATCTGCAAGACCCTGCATGAACACCGAAACCAACATGTGTTCATCCACCGGATTGGAACTTATACAACTCGTAAGATGTCGTATATGTTGCGCATAAGCGTACACATTACGCTTACCCTGCTTGAGCTTCAAGAGTTCGGTTCGAGCTCTGAACTCAGCTCTAGGCGGTTCAAACGTTTGTCTGAGCCGCGACTTGAAGACTTCCAACGACCCAAACGCATATGGGTCGTGCAACTTGAGTCCCAAAGCCCAAGTCTTGGCACGTCCTGCCAGATTTGACTGGGCAAATGCAACTTGCATATCCCCATCGTCGATGCGACGCGCCCTAATGGCGTCGTCTAATTCGAAGGACCATCTCAGGAGGGAGTCCTCTTCGACTCCCCTATACTTGAAGATGTCAATCTTCAAACTCTCGGGTCGACGCGAGTGCATCGACCCACCAGCAGCAGCCTGCTGCTGTCTCAACAGTTCAAACTGTTGAACACCCTGTTCTATCAACAACTCTGCTTGTTGAGAACCTTGTTGGTGAAGCAAGGCTACTTTCTCGCGTTCAGCGTCAAGTTCATTTTGAATGAACTTGGCGATAGTAGCATGTTGGGCATCTCTATTGAGAGCCTCTAGCATGACGCTAACAGCATGGATACCCATAGTTGAACCCATCCGTTCAACCGCATCCCATTCGACATCGCTCAAATGGGAGTAGCCGTCACGCGTAGCGTGAAAGCTTTGGTCATCTTCATCGTCCAACATATTCATGTTAGATGTGAACGTGGTCCTTGGACGGACTACGAAGCGCTACCAGGTGTAACGGGGCACTTTGAAGCTTGTACTGGTGACAGTACAAGCTACTTATTCTGATGACAGAATAAGGCGGTGCCTCGTAACTTCACGTACACTCGTACGTGCAGAGGAAGACGGTAAGAAGAAGCGAGTACTTGGTTAAAGTAAAAAGTAGAACTGTATTTATAATAGTTAATGTCTGCAATAAATCACTATTTATCTTCATCTAACTATGTCTAAATACAAATGTGTAAATCAACTATCTGCTCACCACTCATTGCGTGCGTCTGTCGTGGCGCGTCTTCGTTGGTTGATGTAATGGACAATATCAACCAATTAGGAACTACTCGTAAGTGCTGCAAAATATTTGTCCTTATGACAATATTCTGAGAATATAACTCTTATAGTTATATTCTATTAACAGTTTCTTATAAATTGTTATGTAACGATTCACCCCGTTACAAATTAGATATCGTGAGGCTGGTCGAAATTTTGATCAAAGCGAATTGGCCGATACACGTTCCAAGATTTAGGTTGCTCTGTGGGAGTGGAGATACTGGCTTGTCGATATAAGCGTCTTGATGGGCTTGTATCCGGCCCCAGACCCAACACTCTCGACAGCTGAGGTGCATACCCTTTTCGCTTTATGGTGGAAGTACTCCCTTGCTCGTAAGCATCGTAGCGACGTCCTCCGTCTGTTAATGAATACTCTCGACAGTTACTCCAAGAGGCGGCGACTACGAGATTGCCGTGTGGATCTGCCCCTGTTCTCGCCCGAAGCGTTATTTCAAGCCGACTGGGTCGCGTTATCCGCTTGTAAGTCACGCTGAGTGCCTACCAAAACCGACTGGTTTGGTGAATTTAACGCGTTAGACACAGCTGAACATTGAAAAATCTGGTGATTGACTCGACCGGCGGCATATTCCTACACTGCCTTTTTCCGTTCCCGCCATCCTGAGTTTCCTTAACTCGTGCCTGCGGGAATCTTCGAGAGCGAATCGTTAACCGTAATGTCGAGGATATGGATTCGACTGAAACAGATCGTCCTGATGTGGACTCGTTCGATTCTCTTCTGATGAACCGTCGTAAAACACAGATGTTATTGTCTCAGCCTTCTAAGCATTCAGTCCGTTTGTGGCGGAACAGCATGTGCTGTCGCTTACATCTAAGCACCTCTCGTTGGCTCGTCATTTACCTCGTCAACTCGTCCGGTAGTCACTTTGGAGTATGGCTGTCAATTGTTCTTAACACACGCATACCTTTTTGTCATAATTCTTTCATCTCCACCTGATGGTCGTCTCATTGTTGATTATCGCGTGTTTGCGTGTTGTTAAGTGTATTAACACTCGTCTGCTACTTGCACCATCTACAATTGGTTGTCGCGCTTGTTCTACTGTAGGTAGTAAAAAAAATCTGCACACGATAAATTTGACAAAGGATTCCACGCCTGTAACGGGGCACCCTGAAGCTTGTACTGGTAACAGTACAAGCTACTTATATTGATGACAGAATAAGGCGGTGCCTCGTAACTTCACGTACACTCGTACGTGCAGAGGAAGACGGTAAGAAGAAGCGAGTACTTGGTTAAAGTAAAAAGTAGAACTGTATTTATAATAGTTAATGTCTGCAATAAATCACTATTTATCTTCATCTAACTATGTCTGAATACAAATGTGTAAATCAACTATCTGCTCACCACTCATTGCGTGCGTCTGTCGTGGCGCGTCTTCGTTGGTTGATGTAATGGCCTATATCAACCAATTAGGAACTACTCGTAAGTGCTGCAGAATATTTGCCCTTATGACAATATTCTGAGAATATAACTCTTATAGTTATATTCTATTAACAGTTTCTTATAAATTGTTATGTAACGATTCACCCCGATACATCACCCCCCCCTTAACCATCAGTCACTTTAGTGACTGATTGACTAAATGGATACTCGTCCCAAATCATTTGGGACAGGGTTTGCACTTGTTGGTCCGAGTCCAATTCCCAACATTTCATCGCATAGTTAACAAGCCCATGCGATGCGCGAGCAAGGCCGCCGAGAGCGCGTCTGCACGTCTCTGTGCGGACGCCGAAGCAGAAACCACAGCAACTGATGTCTCATCGGTTGCTTAAGCGACTCAGCCTGTGCCACTTGGTGATACAGGCGCTGGTCATGAAGACACTCATGTCTTCACAGAGTATGAGCTCGGTGTCTCATACTCTCCTGATACGGAAGACGGATCCGTATCGACGGCGATTGGGTCTAATCCGCCTGCCAAGCGTGGCATGGATGATGCTATGCGTCGTAGCATCTTTGGTTCATCTGATGAATCAGATGAACCATCGCCAAAGCGAAGGCGCTCGAGGTCGCGAGACTCGGGCGCTCACAGTGGTGTCGGTTCTCCTGTGGACACCACTTCGCAACGAGGTGCCAGTACTTCTGTCAGCACGTCGCAAGAAGAGCGGGACCGCAATGTCTTGCGTCTCGCTCCTGAAAAGAAGGTATGGCTGCCTCCAAAGTCAGTCATGGATCGCTTGTCGGCGACGACGAGTGATCTTTATCGAACACGGTTGTTCGATTCGTCAAGGATCCATTACCTTGACCCCAGTGCGAAAGACTATCGCGCTGAGAATGAGTTCTTCATCGATGCTTTCTTCAAACATAGATGGTACAGTGGGAATCACAAACGTGATGGTCCCTCACTGCTTCAGGCGTGGGACGCCTACATCCATAACCTCGAGGATGTAGGTCGTGACGCTTGGAGCGACAAACTTATCCTAGCTCGTGATAAGTTTGAAAAACGAACCCCGACAGGTGCACGCTATAAGCTGCATCGTCTGTCAAGGGAGAAAGGATTACCCTGCCTCTCTTGGGGAGACTCGTTCCCATGTTGTGTGAACAACTCTGCACGAGCACCTAAGGAGGCTTACCTCCTTACTAGCCCGTGGTGGCGCGTACGTATCTCTACTGAGATGTACGAAGGGATTGACAACTTGAAATCCCTTTACGACCGTGCCGGGAAGACTTTCTCCGGCGGTCCTTCTGCGGCACAGGATGTGCCGCGTCGTACTGCTCAACCAGACCCAGTACGTCGATCATCAGTTGGGAGCGGGGCTCCCAAGTATCCCAGGACGGGGATTAGCCGCGCCACTGGACGAGATAACTCGTCCGACGTCCGTTCACGTCGCGGTGGTTCAACAGCTGCTCAACCAGATAGCGCTGGCCACCGCGAGAGTCCTCTAATGGAGGTGGGGGAGGAGGAAAGACGCTCTTCACACGATCATGGGGATCCGTGTGTTCACGAGAGCTTCTTTGATCGCGTAACGCAAGGGTTACGCGGCGATCTCGAACATGAGCGGGACAGGCGTCTCCAAATGGAGGATACTGTCTCGAAGCATCGAGCTGAGTTTGCCTTTGCTCAGCTTGAGAACGAGAGAGCTCTGACATCTCTTCGTGACGAGCTAAGGGTAGCTCGTGGGATTCTCGATCGGTCTCGGGATGAGATAGCTGCTCTTCAGACCCTTGTTGATGCCCACCATCGGGAGCACAAGGCTCTCTGCGAGATGCTTGAGCGCAAGGGCGTTCTTCATCGGAAGAAGCAGCGTACTAATGGTACGGCTTAAGCCGACCAACGTAAAACGTGGGATGCGTTCGCATCTTACGTGGTAACCCGATCGTGTATGCATTGCCTAGGCGGTGCAATACCCGAAATGGGCCGATGTACTTGGGTAGTAGTTTACTGCTACCCAAGTTAGTCACTACATGTCGTGGTAGATTAACCGTAGACAGTAGGACTAAGTTACCTTTATTAAATAAAAGAGTGTTTTCCCTTCCATTCTTTTCAGCGTTTTGATTTTGCTTAATCCACCGCTTCGGCGATGGAGTCTTGCACAAAACGGACTACCGTTTCACGAGCCAGTATGAACTCATTTGATGACTCGTTAACTTCAGTGCGCTGTGAGCGCACTGCAGCAACATCAACCTTTTCTTCAGTGAGGGCTTCCGCACTCTCACTGGCATCATCTTCTTCAGTGAGGGCTTCCGCACCCTCACTGGCATCATCTTCTTCAATATCGATGTTATGGATATCGGCATCAAACGCAATGACCTCTTCGTCAGAGCGTGATGAGCGTGATCCAAATCGGTTTTTGCTCGCGCGAGTCCCTCCCCCCCTTAAACCAGAGTTACACTCTAGTAAGGTGGGTACACGCGGATGGCGCAAGCCATTCACGTAAAACGGTGTATGTGTCGTGGACGCATGCACCGAGTTGTTGATGGCAAACTCTACCATTGGCAAAAACTCACTCCAACTCTTAAAGGAGTGTACGTATCCTCGAAGTATCTCTTCAAGGACACGATTGGCACGTTCCGTCTGACCATCTGACTCTGGATGATCAGATGTCGACATCTTCAAGCGCGTTCCGAGTGATTTGAACACGGAACGCCAGAAATCAGCAGTGAATCGTGGATCTCTGTCTGATAAGAGTGCACGGGGCAACCCATGAACTCGGAAGATGGTGTCGATAAAGACACAAGCACAGCCACTTGCCGCGATTTACTCTGGTACAGCCACAAGGTGTACCATTTTGCTGAATCTGTCAACAAATACGAGAATACCCGTATTCCCGCGTGCGTCTTTGGGTAACCCGAAGACGAAATCCATTGAGATGGATTCCCAGCACTCAGCCGGAACCGGTAGAGGCTGTAAAGGTGCACGCAGTGAAGGACTTGACTTCACTCGTTGGCAGACTTCGCATGCGCGAACATACTTTCGCACAAACTGATACTGGCGGGGCCAGTAAAAGTCTCGACTTACCGTGAGATATGTTTTCTCCCGGCCACGATGTCCTCCTATAGGAGCATCGTGATACTCGAACATGATCCGCAAACGCAGATCAGTATCATCTGGAATGACAACACGTGGTGTGTCACCAGAAACGGCTGTATAATACAGTAAACCGTTGCGAGTAGTGTATCGATCTGATGCAGATCGATACGCAGACGACAATCGTTTCAACGATTCTCGAGATGGTTGGGAGAGATGTGTCAACAACTTCACTATCTCACCAGCTTGGGCGTATGCCCGCCTCACATCATCATACAACGTTGTAGATGGGACTGAGGACGTCATAACCGCAACAGTGACTGTCTCACTGTTGGGTTTCGCGACTGTTTCAAAGTCGGGACGACGTGAGAGTGCATCAGCGACGACATTAAGTCGTCCTGGTTTGTACTCGACCGTAAAGTTGTATTCTGCAAAGAATGACAACCACCGCGCCATTCGTTGTGAAAGGTGCGGGCTGTTCACTGCCGTGCGTAACGACGCATGGTTAGTGTAAACAATGAAGGGTCTATCTCCTAATAGATAGACTCTGAACTTCGCGAGTGCATACTTCATGGCAAGGAGTTCCTTGTCATGCACTGGATAGTTCCGCTCAGCTGGTTGCAGCTGACGCGACTGATAGCAGACGACGCGTTCAACGCCTTCTAGGTCGTACTGCATTAATGCACAGCCGATTGCGAAATCGCTGGCATCACAGACCACATGAAATGGCCTGTCCTGATCGGCTATTGCTAGGACTGGGGATTGTATCAAGCTCTGCTTGATACCATTAAAGGAGCGCTGACATTCAGCGTTCCATAACCACCTCTCGTTCTTTTTCAACAAACGAGAGAGGTGCACAGTCATCTCGGCGTAATTGCGTGAATACTTATGCAAATACGCCGCTAGCCCAAGGAATTTTCGAAGACCTTTGACATCAACCGGCACAGGCCAGTCGGTGATCGCCTTGATCTTTTCGGGATCAGGACGTACACCGTTCTTACCAACGATGCACCCAAGAAGTGGTATTTCGCTTGCTGCAAATATACACTTCTTGAGGTTTGCATACAATTGATGCTTTCGCATGATTGTAAGAACCTGTCGGACGTGGTACCTGTGAACCTCAACGTCCGACTTTCCGTCCATAGCTCGACTATGGATGAATACGTCATCGAAATAACTCGGCGCGAATTCTCGTACTGGTCTCAACAGATGTGATACACATCTGTTGAACGTGGCAGGGGCATTACTAAGCCCTTTTGGCATTACTAGCCATTCCCAGAGCATGCCGCTAGGCGTGCTAGCTGCGGTATAGGTTATATCCCGTTCCCGCATAAGGATTTGATAGAAGCCATCCATCAAATCCATGGACGAGAAGATGGTACTCTTTGACATACCATCAATTATTACGTCCTTCCTCGGTATCGGCGTCTGAGCCGGTACCGTTGCAGCGTTCAATTTGTTGAACGCGTGCACTATCCGCCACCCTCCTGTTGCTTTTCGCACACAGAAGGTCGGAGAGCTATGTGGGGAAGTTGATTCCCTCACATGGCCCGCAGCTAAACGATCAGCAAAGAACTTGTCAATCGCAAGTACTTGTTCACGAGGCAGTGGCCACTGCTTCATGACACAGTACTTCGAGCCTGGTTTAAGCTCGACCTCGTGTCGAATACCTTTATCCTTCGGTAATTCGCACGGAACAGTTTCAGGGAATACATCCTTGAATTCAACCAAATCTTCATAGAGAGGATTTGTCTTGAGCGATTCCCTTGATTGAGAGTCATATCGCTCAACTCGTGTCTTTTCATCGAGGACACTCTCGTCCATTGATGAACTACTGAGAACTCTCTCGTTATCAGTGAACACTGTTGCTGACCTTATGTCGGTTACACACTCGTCGTCAGCGACGAGTACGCAGATCTGCTTGACTTTGCCACTACGCAGATCACGCAAGAACCTTTTATGTTCGAGCGTTGGCAACTGAGTGATCTCCAAAGTCAACTTCGGAGGCGCAATCAGATCAAGTGTATAAGCGCCTACACTTGATCCGTCATTGACTAGGACATTTAGTGTCTCTGTCATTTCCTGGGGACTTATTCCCTCAGGCTTCGAAGGACTTATTCCTTCGGCTTCCCGGGGACTTATTCCCGCGGGTTTCGGGGAACTTATTTCCGCCGTATTTGTAATATCGGGACTTATTCCCTTTAGTTCCTCTAGCCGGGGTTGCGCAACCACAGCGAGATCCTCTACGAAAGACTCTCCAGTCGATCTAGGATTATCGTTTCGCTTAACCTGAGCGATCGATTGTTTCTCTTCTAGATGTTCCCCGCTAGGGATACATCTTTGTCCCGGTCCACCCGACTTATTCGAGTGGTGGACCTTCGGCGCAGCCTGTGTTTCCTCACAGCCGCCGGAACTTTGCTCCGAAGTGTAACCGTTTGTTACACTAAGGTTTTGTGCAGTCTTACTAACGACCGTACCACAAGTGAGGCCATCGCACTCACTCGTAGTACATCGACACGCTTGTGGACGCTCCAAAACGTTCATCAGATGGCCATCTGATGAACAAGCGGCAGGCATCTTCGCGGATCGATGTTGCCAGTTTACCCGTGGTTCGTACCTTCTGAGCCACAGTATTCCAAGGATGACATCAAATTTGTCATCCAAATCCAATACGATAAAGTCATCGTCACATTGGGTATCTTCTAGCGTATAGTGGATCTTCACTATACGCTTCATGACGGTTACGGATGCGCCTGTCGCAAGACGTACCGTCATCCTCGTAGGAGGTGTGTCACACTCACTGAACTTGAAGTGACCATGTCCTAGCGATTGGCCTCGCAAAAATTTGTTGGACGCCCCACAATCGACTAGAGCTCGAAGGGACAACTTATTCGTCACTTCGAGTTTCAAGGTAATGCGTGAGTCCTCATTACCTAGAGCAGCAACGCACAACGTTTTTGCGTTAGGAGCAACCTTCATCAAGAGGCCTACAAATTCTCTTGACGTTGCTGGACCAGTAGGGTGCTCCGCACCTACTGATCCTGTCCATTTTTTGACGGTCTATCCCGTTGTCGCGTCTTTGCACCAACAGCGGACCCGCGTTCCTGCCCCTTTCTCATGGGTGGACGGTCACTACGTTCAGTGTTGCGAGACACTGGACGAGGGGCACTACACTCGTAAGCGTAGTGTCCTGTCTTCTGACACCTGTTTCATTTCTGCAACTTCTTGTAGTCTGTAGAGCGAGTCTTCTCGCTCTCTACATAACAGAGTTCCATCGGCTCTGGACCTCCGCTGTCATATCGTCTAGGTTGACGGTATGATGTCGAGCTGGCGCGAGCCTGTCTCAGACTGAATTCTTCCTGTTCCGCAATGGAAATGGCTTGTTCTAGTGAATCTAGTTCAAGCCGGAACAGGTGAGTCTTGACGGAACCATCTGCAAGACCCTGCATGAACACCGAAACCAACATGTGTTCATCCACCGGATTGGAACTTATACAACTCGTAAGATGTCGTATATGTTGCGCGTAAGCGTACACATTACGCTTACCCTGCTTGAGCTTCAAGAGTTCGGTTCGAGCTCTGAACTCAGCTCTAGGCGGTTCAAACGTTTGTCTGAGCCGCGACTTGAAGACTTCCAACGACCCAAACGCATATGGGTCGTGCAACTTGAGTCCCAAAGCCCAAGTCTTGGCACGTCCTGCCAGATTTGACTGGGCAAATGCAACTTGCATATCCCCATCGTCGATGCGACGCGCCCTAATGGCGTCGTCTAATTCGACGGAACATCTCAGGAGGGAGTCCTCTTCGACTCCCCTATACTTGGAGATGTCAATCTTCAAACTCTCGGGTCGACGCGAGTGCATCGACCCACCAGCAGCAGCCTGCTGCTGTCTCAACAGTTCAAAATGTTGAACACCCTGTTCTCTCAACAACTCTGATTGTTGAGAACCTTGTTGGTGAAGCAAGGCTACTTTCTCGCGTTCAGCGTCAAGTTCATTTTGAATGAACTTGGCGATAGTAGCATGTTGGGCATCTCTATTGAGAGCCTCTAGCATGACGCTAACAGCATGGATACCCATAGTTGAACCCATCCGTTCAACCGCATCCCATTCGACATTGCTCAAATGGGAGTAGCCGTCACGCGTAGCCTGAAAGCTTTGGTCATCTTCATCGTCCAACATATTCATGTTGGATGTGAACGTGGTCCTTGGACGGACTACGAAGTGCTACCAGGTGTAACGGGGCACTTTGAAGCTTGTACTGGTGACAGTACAAGCTACTTATTCTGATGACAGAATAAGGCGGTGCCTCGTAACTTCACGTACACTCGTACGTGCAGAGGAAGACGGTAAGAAGAAGCGAGTACTTGGTTAAAGTAAAAAGTAGAACTGTATTTATAATAGTTAATGTCTGCAATAAATCACTATTTATCTTCATCTAACTATGTCTAAATACAAATGTGTAAATCAACTATCTGCTCACCACTCATTGCGTGCGTCTGTCGTGGCGCGTCTTCGTTGGTTGATATAATGGCCTATATCAACCAATTAGGAACTACTCGTAAGTGCTGCAGAATATTTGCC